GACAGAAGTCCCATCTGAGTGCTGAGAAAACACAATTTTACGGAAAATAGCGAAAGTAAAATCAGCTGGCTTGGTTTGCACTGGTAGATTGCAAGATGTGTAGTATATAACCCAAATTTCACTGCTGAAATACTTCAGTAAAATACAAACCAAAGCCCTCTAACACTGTGGTTGCCACTGGGGGAGCAGAGCAGGACAAGAAGGGTACTGTAATTAGCAGGGTAATTAACAGTAAAATGCAGTTGAATAGGAAAACAGTTTTTAGTTCAGAATTAGTGATGACCTGTCCCAGCCTCACAGAGGGTAAGTTACATGTTTGCACTGATCTGATCTCAGAATGTGTCATTTTGGGAGCTAATTGAGTTTAGTCCTGGTTAGATTTAAAAATGTGTTAATGAAGATTGTCATTAAAACTGTGGTGACTGTTCCTGCTGATGGAGATTCCACAAAAAAAAAAAAAATCATAGTGAAAACTAACTAAATAAAAAGTATGTGAATTGTGAGGTAACTTGAATAAAGTCAATTCACACTTATTTTATGGTTCTCTGCTGGTTCTTTTCAGGAGTTCAAACTCTCATTCCTTTGAGGGGTTTAAATTTCCATTTCAAAATGGAAGTAGTAGTTGTAAAGCACCTCTAAAGCATTTTCTAAAATATAGAAGTCTTAAGGAGTTATATCACAATATTGTCTACTCTAATAAGAAAATGAAACAAAAATATCCAGCAGTCTTATTTTTTTACCATTTGGCTGGAAAAGAGGAGGAGAAGGAGAAATAATAATAATAATAATAATAATAATAATAATAATAATATAATACCAAACCTTTTAACTAGGAATAAAATTTGAAAACAAAAAAGATGAAGGTTAATTGTATTTTCATGGACAGAATGTGTAACTAAGCAATTCATTTTTTAACAGGGAGAGGAGAACAAAGATTTTTGACTTGTTTCACTTGTTAAAATTTAGAACTTTAACTGAAAAAAGGAAGAGATTGGGTCATTTTCAGAATTCCCATATGGGATATAACCCTGTCTCTGGCAGCTTCAGCCCTCTTCCAATATCTGCTCTTCAAGTAGCTGCACAATTAATTTAAACTTATTTATTGTATTGTGTGCAAATGAAGCCTGTATTACGTTTTAAGCATCTAGTGATAAGTAGTGTTTAGTGTTTGTGCTGGTGGTGGTGACTGAATTACACAAACTAATTAATACCATTTCATACCAAGTGCTAAAGCCCTGTCTCACCCTGTGTTTTTTAATTTGTGTGTGTTGTTCCCCTGAGAGATGTTTTCCATTTTAAAAGCATCATCCATCTCTCAGGGTTTGTGTTGAAACATGTAATCTGAGAAGATAGATCTCAATTTGATAATGCAGGTTAAAAAAAATGAAAAAATATATTTACAGTCAATTCAGTCTCAATAGTAATTTAAATATTCAAGATTATTTATTTAGCTATGGATTATTGTAAATTTTGCAAGTTCACGTGAGTCAAAATATGATTGATAAAGGTAATGGCATGAGGGCAAAAAAAAAGATGAAGATGTCAATGCAAATAACCCTCACTCATGTCTGGAAGGAAGTAAATTGTAATTCCAGCTTCTGGAAGGGAAGTAAATTAAAAATAAAAATATATTTATTGAAATCTGCTATGCTTAGTAGAACATCATCTTTTAAATCCTTTGTTCCACTACTATTAGGTAAAGATGAAAACTAAACCACACCATATTTTATAGCTGCCTGAACAACTAAAAGAGAGTAAGAATTGCACAAGTGGCAGAGAAACATCCCAGCTTCTGTGCCTTTATGACATCAGCTTCCTGCTGGATATTTTTTTGTGAAATCACATTTTCTACCACCCACACATGGGCAGTGAGACCACTGGTGCTGCAACATTGATTCTTCAAAGACTTCCATACTCAGAAACTTGATTTCTCTTCATCCCCTTGTGTAGTGAACTAAGAAAAATAGAATTTTACAAGATTTTCACATTGCGTATGTACACACAACTCACAAAATTGCATTAAATACACAGATATGAGATACCCTTTACTGTGCCTGTACACAGACGATTGTTCTTTAGCAGAAAGATAACAAAAAAGTGCTACAGCTTCTGGCACATCATTCATGTTCTTGAATTTGTCCTCTTTTAAAGTATTTCTAACAATTTAACATTGCAGGATACTGTAAATAAGAGCAAGGCGATTACTCAAGTTAACATTTCACATCTTGATTTTATTTTGTGTAGTCTCATTTTAGTATTTTTTTAGTATTCTAATTATTTTCTCCTTTTAGGTTTTTGGGTTTTTCTTTTTTTCACTCTAGGTTGATAAATAAAAATATTCTGTGGCAATTACACAAAAGGTTTTTCCTTTCTGGCCTCATTTTCACTCAGTTAAGTAGAAGCTCCTGCTTTCTTTGGTCGTAGTTGCCTGATGGCAGACTTCAAGATACTTTTTGTGGTGCCAAATTACTGAATTCCATACCTGCAGGCAAGAATTATGATATACTGGTGTCAGTAGGTGTGGTGGTGGTATTTCCATCTCATCCATGACTTAGATATGGCATATCTTAGATATTTTGTTTTATTCATATTATTTTTTGTTTTTTCCATTGTTTGGGGTTTGTTTGGTATTTGGTTTAGGCTTTTTTCCTATTTTTGTTTGGTTTGGGTTATTTTTGTTTTGCTTTGGGGTTTTTTTTGTTTGGTTGGTTTTGGTTAGAGGGTTTTTGGGTGAATGGTTGATGTTTTGTGTTTGGGTCACAGGTGTTTTGTGTTTGGGTCCAAGTCTTCAGCATGTACAGAATTAATTTTTATCATCAGAAACAAGTGCTGAGAGACCAATTCAAAGTCTGTGGCCACTGGTTTTGGTTTAGTACCAGGATTTTGGACCCACTGAGTTTTGGGGTGTTTGTGCTGCAAGAGAAGGGGAAGACAAAGTTCCCAAGAAGTCGCTGACAGAGGGATTCCTGCCATAAGAAATGTAAAGCCTCCCTAGACCATGGTAATGTCACCAGCTCCTAACAAAGAATTAGTAGAAAACTTAGTAAAACTAATTCAGAGTCTAAATGTCAGGTGCTCTTATCAATGACAAAGGATGGAGTGAAAAAACATGTGTCACAAACTTTCTGCTGCTTCATGTCTTCCAGAATCCTGGTGCTTAATAATGTGTTCTTGGAGACTTTAAAAAATGTTCCCACTGTAGGGAAAAGCTTTAATATTTAACATATTTTCTTTTAAATGTTGGACGGAATGTCTTTGTTGTCTTGATACATCTTGGTAGAATCTTTTTGTGGACAACCACGACATTGGTGGTGGAGAGGAAGAAGTTTAGTACAAATGACAAAAATAAGAATATTTAAGTTTTTAGCAGTAAAATTTTGGGGTAAGTTAAACCATAGGAACTGTTCGAAATCTGTTGGTCATGGATGGCAGTTGTACCTGGATTCTCTTGTTTAAAGACAGAAGAAGATTTAAACCCTTCCACAAGCACGTTTAAGAAGAATACACAGATAAATGAGTATTTACAGTATATAAACCTTCATGTAAGCTTGGAAGGATCAGATTTTTTGCAAATCACAGACTATTACATAATATTCGTAGTGTGGTTCTATTGTACACAGTTGAGTTGAGAGACACTTCTGATTTCCCCTTTATGAGCTGTAAATAAAGATGAGTTTTGTTGCTGGATGAGGCAGTCCTAACCCAAGGTCCTCCCTGGAGTGGCTGTGCTTGCTTGACCTTTGTAGAAATTGTTGAAATTCTGGTTTCCTCACACTTTTACTGTTTTACAAGGGCCTGGCCATATGCACAGTCCTTTTCTCTTTCTTTTTTTCTTATCAGAGATTCTCCCCATCAGAAGGTGCCCAAAGAAGTCTCCCTCTTCTACAGCACATCAAATGCCTTATTATTAGCTTTTCAGAATTGTTATTGAACTTTCTTCTCCAGTTTGTAAACCCTCTGTACTTCAAATTGCTTTCTACTACTTACTTTATGTGCGTGTTTATGTAGTTTACACTATTTCAGCTTTCATCTGATTCCAGGATGTGAAAGGTTTCATTTATTTATGCAAGATCATAGGAAAAATTCCAGCAGTAATTATTGGTGAAGCGATGGTATTTTCTCTGCTTTGCTATTGCTGGACTTTATAAGTGTGTGCTCACAGTTAAATAACTTTTAGCTCTGTATTTTCTCCTGGAGTTACAGGTACCCTGCATGCCAAAGCCATCCTCTTCATCATCTTTTCATTCAGATGTTTTTGCCTTTCTCCTGTAGATTTCACATTTACCACTAATCTTCGTAGAATTCTGGATTATTGTCTAACAGAGATGTTAGACGTGTTTGCTGGCAGTACTGTTTGTTTATCATGGGCTGTGAGGGAGTTCAGGAGTAGCCAAGAGGCTTTAGAACCTCATGGGATGGTACAGCATCCCATACAGATTTGGGTATAAATTTGGGTTTGAGAGAGGAGTGTGAGCATGGAGGGATAAGAGGAGTACAGCACTGAATTTATATGGCTGATGAAACCACCAAAATTCTAAATATTTACAACAAAAACTTGGAGTCTGTGTCCTCACAGGTTAAATTTTGTAGTTTACTCTATTATGAAAAAATGCATGAAAAATATTACTGCATTATTATGCTGTTCTTTACCTCTGGACTCTCCCAAGAACACTTTTCTATTCCAGGGTTCCCATCTTACCCCCTTCACCACTATAGATGTCTGATTATATGATCTGAATGGTCTATTATTCTTCTTTGTAATGCATTAAGTTATTTATATTCTGCACACACAACTGCTGTAACAAAGTTTTAAGCAATATACCTTGGTAGAAGTATTGGCTAAGAATTTTAAAATTTATTTAATTCTGCTAAACATTATGGGACAATATCCTGAATACTCTATTTAGGCTGGATGCTGTAGCTGTGAGTATGACAATGACCCAGTGTGGTATATACAAGCTAAGTGAAATTATTTAGAAGTATTTCTTTTTTTTTCACAGCCTTTCATGTCCCCTCGGTACCCTGGAGGTCCAAGGCCACCTTTAAGAATACCCAATCAGGTAAGAATTTATCACTCCAGAGTGAGTGTTTGCTGTTTTACTTAATTCTGTGTAAAATGCATCAATCTCTCTACATACAAATTATGTTTACTTCACAGTAAATATGGAGGTTATTGGTGAAAAACAGATACCACGAAGGGCTGTGTGGCTCTTACAGACACTCTGAGGACTTTATAAAAGTGTTGAATTCCCAGTTTACCCTCTTCCCTATCAAAGGATGCGTCTGCCAGCGAGACAGGGATGTAATGAGCTGCTGTTGGTCAGCAGGGACCTTCATTGGCCCATCTGTGAAAAGATGGTTCTGGAAGTGGAGAGCATTTGTGTTTTTAAGTTCTCCATAGTGTTTCCAGGGCTGCCTTTCTTGTTATCACACTATACCCCAATCTCATTTGTGGCTATTTTTTGTATCCATGTGACACAGTGTCAACAAATTTGTCTCTAGTTTTGGCGCAATATCACCAGAAAGGATGAAATTTAAATAGTGTCTTAGCAAAGGTATTTGAGCTCCTTATCCAAGTATTTGGGTTCCACACACTCTGTGTTCCTGGGCACTGCAAATCCTGGCAGGGGGGAGCTGGACGTGCTGAGTGGAAGCGCTGCCAACCTGCAGATTTAGTTTCAGGAGTGTTGTTTTGTCTGCACACTGTAATATTTTCGGTTCAGAGTTGGAACATAATCACATAATGTCAGTGAATTACAGGTCTGGCTTCATTCACGTTATGCCATGTTCATGAATTGCTACTTTTAGCACCACTGCCATGACTCAGGTTACAGTGTGGATGGGCAGTGTGTGGAAGCAATGAACTATTATAGTGCACCTTTAAGCCTCAGATGAGGTGGTAGTTTGGTCCTGGTCTAGTGGGACATGCCCCTGCCCATGGCAGGGAATTGGAATGAGATCAGTTTTAAGGTTCCTTCCAACCCAAACCACTCTGTAATTCTGTGATTTACTCATTCTGTGATTTACATTTGTACTGAAAATTTGGCGCTGTTTTGGAATGCTAAATAGCACCCAGTGGATCAGCCACAAAGATCCATTAATAAAAACATTTTTCTACTTGGCCAAACTTCAGTTAAGATCCTGTGAAAATGAGCCTTAACCCTAGTTCAGCAAACCCAAAGGGTAGATTAGCAAGTGGGGACATTAAAGCACATTACTCTTGGCTCAGAAGAAAAAGCCAGGAATTAAAAAGTAAAATATATATGTTATGCCTTTAAGATAAATTTCTAAGCATTAAGTGCTTATCCCGGTGGTTTCCCTTCCTTCAGGCCCTGGGAGGTGTCCCTGGAAGTCAACCACTCCTGCCCAGCGGGATGGACCCCACACGGCAGCAGGGTGAGTTCAGCCACTCCAAATTACTACCCTCACAAACTTGTATATTTCTCCCTGTATTTCAAACCCTACTGCACCTCTTAAAGCTTTTTTTTTTTAATTAGAAAGGATCAATTTGCTAAAAGTTGCCTGTGTATTGTGTAATTTTTAATGTGATGTGACTTTATTGCAGGACATCCAAACATGGGAGGGCCGATGCAGAGGATGACTCCTCCGAGGGGAATGGTGCCATTAGGACCACAGGTACCTTCTACAGATGGGTTATTCTTACTTGACAGGCCTGTACATATATTCCTCTGACTTTCTGTAACTTGAAGGTGCCCAGGATTTGTTTTCACAATCCTCTTCTAAAATAAACTTCCAGTTTTACAAAAAAAAATTAGCTCTGAATTGCAGCTGTGCAAAATCCAGAAGGAAAAATCTGTCATTTTTGTTAAGATTTGGAATTAAATGAGGAATTCCTTCACTTGCTTATTTCAGAAAAATGTGTGCTGTCATCAAAGACTGACGTTGGTAAGGGAGACCAAGGGTGGAGTAGGTGTTTCCTCATCCTGCTCATGGATAATTATGCTGATTAGGAGGAAAAATACTTCTAACTTAGGGAAACTCTTTGTACCAAAAATACCCCTGGAAATTCTGTGAAGTTTTTCTTTCATCTACTCTTGATCTAAATTTTTGGTGAGTGCTGGAGAGATTTTAATGTAAAACAAGATGCTCCTGTTGCCATTTCTTGCCCTTGTCCATCATGAGCAGATCTGTGGCTCTGTTTCAGCAGTGGACCAAGGCAGGAAACAAACGACTCTGGTACACACCTGAAACACAAATCCAAAATATTATTCTGCGTTTTGTCAGCACTCTCACTGAGGGAATGTGTAGGTGGTGGTGTTTCGTATTGGTGTTGCCAGTGTGTTGTTTCACAGTGTGCTTGTTGTGCCCACACTTTGCATTTTCACTTCCCCATTTCAGATCTCTCTTGTGGCTTCTTGTTTGGATAACAGCTACATTTTTAATGATTAAATATATTTGCCTTTCCAGTTCTGTCCATAACTGTCTCTACAATTTTGGGTTTTCTTGGTACAAACCAGTTGTGCAGTTCCATACATCGGCTGTGTGACCAACAAAACATTATTAAATACATTTCTCAATTTTTTCTGTAGCACTGAAATACATTTACCATTTTTGGAGGTAGAAGGAGAAGCTTTGCTGTGCTGCCATGTGAGATTGAGCTGATCCTTTATGCAGCACCATTAGTCACACAGCAGGCAAATTTCATGCCAGTTTTTTTTTGAGGATAATTTTCCCATTTTTGCTGTTGCTTAAAATCCAGTGGTTTTGTAAGTTTCTCCTTTCTTGTGCCAAACATCCTCTTAAAAGGTAACCTACCCAAACCTTAAGTTCACAAATTATTCTATAAATGGGAGTGCTCTTATTTTAGGACAAACTAGTAAATTTGTTTAGCAGTTGCAGTAATTACAGTTAAAAGTTAGACTGTGAGGTGGGACAGGCTGTTCTGCTTGTATCCCACCAAATAAAACCAGGCATAATTTACCTTTTTGTTTAAGTAGTAGAGTTCAACTTCTGTCACGATATCAGGGCATAAACTCAGGCTTTATGGGCATCAGGTAATTCATTTATTAGCATTGCTATGACATTAAGTATCATATGAAATACTCTTAATATTGGTTATCATAGAGCTGGGCTGGTGGAAGGTGTTCCTGCCCAGGGGATTGAAACTGGGTGGTCTTTAAGGTCCCTTCCAATGCAAACCCTTCTGGGATTCTATGATTTATTAGAATGGAATAATTGGAAGAGAGATGTAATGGTTATGCTGTATGTTATTAAAGTTATATGATATGGTGTAATTTTATACAAGCATAACAAAATTTAATTTAACAGAATACAGATTGACTTCCATGATATAGAAACCTCAGAACCTCAGACAAGATTTTGGATTTTCAACTCCCTTGGTTTAGAAGTCGAATTCATTATAAAACTTCCTTTGCTGGCCATCAAGTTGTCTTCAACATGTGTAAATAATTCCTACTGGAACAACTTTAACCATTCTTAGCCTATTTCTGTCATTTGTAAACCTTCCTCCATGGGGTTAACAATATCGTTTTTTTAAGTCAACAGTTGGGGGCCTCTGGTGGTCTAGTGGTTAGGGTGCAGGACTCTCACCGCTGCGACCCGGGTTCGATTCCCG